TGGCTAATAGTTTTACAATTCCCCATATTTCTACAACAGAGGTGGTGGGTAAAATGTCATCAGGGCCAATAGTCAAAACTGAAAGATTTGAGAATAATATCAGGTTGACAAATACCAGATGTTCCTTTTAAAACTAAATGTCTCTTAAGCTATTAACAAGTGGATATTACATTTGAACAAAAGCAATTCATTTGTGTGTTTTGTGTCATACAGCTGTCTAACCTCCAGGCCAGGGTATTAAATTCAGGATCACTGCAGCCAACAAATGCATCCATTCCACCATAAGCAAATTTTGTCTGCTTATAGGCACTGTTTTCTGAGAAATAGTCTTTATTAAGTCCCCAAGGGTGGAAACACCATTAAGGAATATGAATTCCATCCCACTCATGCCATCATCAAATCCACCAAGAATCGAATTAACATCTGTTGTTGTTTTCTTTCAATTTGCCACTAACATAAAAGTGTCATAAAATTCAGTAGGGCCCGCTTTAAGCACCAAGGATGTAAATATTTTGCTCAAGAAAATGTAAAATTAAGGCAGAGTCGATGCTGCGATGTGATGTGTTTTCCCACTGACAGTTTCTTATTGTTTTGTGGTGAGACATTAGTCCATCATCTCACGCAGGCACCAACCCTCGATCTCCTCATTGATCCCACACAAAACAAATGGCAGTCTCAGACAGCGGGACATAATGCCTCATCCTGACCAATCCATTAACCCCTATCACAAAGCTCCCACACTGAAGATGGAAAGCGTTGATGTCCCACTGATAGACAGAATGACAGAGAAAGGAAGGTAGGAGTGGTGAAGAAAGTGTTGTGGAAAGAGAGAGGAAAAACAGGGAGGCAGGAACTGTATGTGGAAAATAAAAGAAATGGAGTCATACAGAGAGGGAAAGAGAGAAAAAAAGAGGAGGAGAGAGACAAGGATAAAGAATGAAGCTGCCATAATGGAAAAAAACATTCTGCTGCACCGCTCATCTAATCCTAAAACTACACCTCGCCCAGCAATAATCAACCAATTAAACCAAAGCTTGAGTATCACATATCCCCTTCTAACAGCGGGTATTTGCAGCAAAAACTAATAAAACCGCACTAATTTATGAACACTTGTTAGTCAGCTGTCATCATGTGACGTAAGTGTAGAACTTCAGTCACATAATGACACCTGAGCCGTCTCCATTCTCTGCAGAAGCTTGTAAGATGCAGGTGAAAGCTCAAAGAGACAATAGTTGGACCTTTGAGCTTAGATTATTCTGAGTGAACTTACTAACTCACAAAATGTAAAGTTGGATTCAACCTATTGAATGCCGTGGCATCATCACAGCATTAGACGAATGTGCCGTACATTATCAGCTTGTTTCGCCAAGTTCTTATGTAACAAATTGCATACATGGGTATGCAGCCTACAGAATGGGAAAGTTAAGCTGATGAAAAGGAAATTACTCAGTTAGCCACAATTTCCTTGAGAGGTAGTTACATTTTCAAGGATATGCACATCAGCTCTGGCAGGGGCATAGTCTACATGCACTATAGCTCATAAGTGACAGGAGAAAGCAAAGCTAAAGTGTCAATTACTCATTACATTTTGCTCATTTGAGAAGGTAATTACTGTTGTTAAAGAGGTCATATTATGCTCATTTTCAGGTTCCAAATCTTATTTAGGGGTTGTACCACAATAGGTTTACATGGTTTCATTTTTAAAAAACACCATATTTTTGTCATGCTACACATTGCTGCAGCCCCTCTTTTCATCCTTTGTGTTGAACGCTTCGTTTTAGCTATGGAGTGATGCATCTTACCTCTACAAGATCTTTGTTGGGAGTTGCACATGCACAGTTCCTAGTTAAGGACTACTAGCCAATCAGAAGCAGAGTAGGGCGGGTCCGGAGAAGCCGGTAAACACGGCTTCGGTTCAGCTATATATCCCCTTACAAGTTTTGTATTGACTGCCTGGAGGGTAGCTAGTATTTGGAAGGGAGAGGCAGCAGGTGGACGTCTTGTCACTGTGTGCTGCAGTTCAGTGTTTTTCCACCGGTGTGTTTGAGGACGTGTCGGACTAGTCGCTAGGCGAGCATTATGATGCGCATTTTGCTGTGAAGTCACAGAGAACCAAAGGAAAAGGCTGGACTACAAACGAGCTGTTTTCAGGCAGTTCCTTTGGGGTGGACTTTGGGCTCTTTGCAAACCTGTTACATACACAAAAGAGGTATATAACTCAATAAAGGAGAGGTAAAAAGACAAATAGCATAATATGACCTCTTTAAGCAAAGGTGCCTTTTACCAACTCCAAAGCCTCCACCAAGTGGGAAGCTTCCGGTCTAAGACGTGAATCCATTGCAGAAGTCCCTTAAACCTGCATTCTATCGAACGGCCAGCAGGGGTAAAATGACCCTACTTCTCAGCTGATTTATTACCTCAGTAAAGACTTTCTTAATGAGTTTATGGTCTCCGTCGCTAAGTCTTCTTCAATGCAACATGATGTTCATTTAGTAAATTATGTTGTTCCCATTTAGAGTATGCTTCAGGGCGGGATTATCTATGATTGACAATGGCGACCTGTCAATCAGGCTAGAGTGACTCATACCCACGACACTGTGTAAATTTAACCAGCGCCGTTGAAAAAATGTGTTAGGAGTCGGCTGTTCACTTTCTCTGGTGAGTCTGGTGTCTAGTGTTCGCTAGACAAAGTTATCAGCCCTGTTAAAATGACAGTTAACGTGAATTAGCTAAGCAAGCTCCACACACGGGTCGTCCAGTCATGTCTGGTGCCGCTTGTTGCAAAAAAGTATGGCAGCGCTCAATCGGCCAAACTCGAGGCTTCAAAAGGGCAGTCCACAAACCAACGGGAAGACTTCACGATGACTACATCCACTTCTTTTATACAGTCTATGGCCTCCACAAACACATATCACAATTTATGTAATACACATTAAAAATTACAAAACAAAACATTAGGGTTTAACAAGGAGCCAGCTGTCAGTTTGGAGTTATTCCAACAGCTAGCTTAACATTAGCCCAAGTGACTACAAGCTTTCCAATAGTCTGATCCTCAGCCACAGGGTTCACAGACCCTCAAATTTCCACGACAACCAGGTGATTCCAGAATTTAGCTTTACCAGCAGCTAGAAGTAACAACATGTAAGCATGAAAAAGTTACAGGGAGGCATGTTTTTGTTACCAGAAGACACATTTCTCCTCTATTGGCAGTGGTTAACATCCTCCACCGTCTCAAAACCCTGTGCCAAGTTAATGTGTCGGGGAGCAGTCATTCCACTGAACACAGAGACCAAACTGAACATTGCTTATAAGTTTAAAGCCATCTTAAAGCCTCTGCAAATAATATATATTCTTAGTGAGAAAAATTCTTGCCACTCAAGACTGAAATAGACTTTTGTAAGTGTTAAAAGCACTCACATTTAATGACTTACTTTTACAAACTCCAGTGGTGGACAGATTAAGATTTATATCATTATTCAGCTCAAAATACAGGTTCATTTACTTTTGTGCAGATTCCAGTAATCAGAAATTTAACATATTTAGGCTATCTTAGCAATCTGAGTAAACCTTTGCACACTACTCACAAAAAAATCCTGTCCACCATGACCTGCATGTCTTTTGCACACAACAGTTCAGACCACAGTCTTGAAAAACAGCTGCCATGGCTAAACTGAGGTTATAATGAGGCTTTGAATTGGGCAGCGTCTTCCTGGCTTACTGGAAAACGGTAGCACCAGTGGCCACCGCGCATGCCGGCAGGTTGGGGAGAAGTCAGTGGGTCTTCATTAAAGCCAAACCACAGAGTGAGGAGGAGGGAGGCCTCGTTCTCCGTGTTCTCTCTGGGCTGCTTCGGCTTTGTCAGCCCTTCTTTGTAATTAGAAGAGACCTCCTCCTCCCACTGTAATTAACAGCAATAGGATGTGTGCTGTAATTCAGCCTCCTGCTTTGTCATGCTGATATGTTTCTGGTAAGGGCTGATGCTGGGTGGGCCAAATCTCATGCTTCTGCAGTGTTATAACATGGATCTTTTAACACAATAACAATTTTTTTACCCCTTTCTGAATTTAAAATATATATACTTATACAGTCACATCTGAGAGATCAGTCAGGTATCATAAGTCTGCTGTCTTTGAGCATTTGGTAATGTAGGTTAGAGCCTGCAAATTACAGTCTAATTATTTTGTATATGCTATGAATGAATTACTTACTGGGTACATATACTGGGGTACAAAGTTACGCAATATGATGGTAAAAATTGTGCTTAAAGACCTGAGTACCAATTTAATAATTGTGAAGTACAGTAATATAATTCCAGGATTCCAGGAAAAATGGGTGACAGTGCCAATATTGCAATGTTAGTTGTATCATTTTCTTTGAAATTATGATATACTTAACTTAAAATAACAATGTCAAAGGTAATTATATAAGGAGTACTTGTTATTCTTAAAGCTAGGGTAGGCAATTTATTTAAGAAGCATTTTGTTTGTTGAAATTATTTTTAAATCCAAACAGCAATCAAATGCTGTGACACAAAAATTAGATACACATTAAGTATTTTATTAATGCCTAATATCACAAAATATTTACACAGTAATTTGTGGGCTGTAATCTAAAGCGTAACTAACTGATACTTAAGTGACTTGATGAAAGTTTGACCCTGACATTGATTGAAAGCCTCTGCTCTCTGTCTCTGAGTTGCTTATTGTTTAAAAGTTGTGGTCAGGTCTTAGCAGGTCAAAGCAATCCGAGGTCAACCGATGTCACAATCCTGAGGTACCCTTGTTACTCTATCACATTTCTGATGTCAGTTAAATAGCTCACAGCTGCACAGAGGTAGAGGCAGCCCCGGGTCATATAGTAGTAAAGAGTTGGCAGCAGGGAGGCTTGATAGGAGTGAAGAAGGGATGTGCCATACTTAAGTAGGCAAGACATCAGCATAGACAGAGCGCGAGCAACTAGATGCTTATCATACCACTCTCACAGATCCCTTCCAAATGATCAAAAGGGGTGTATCTATTTATTTTCAACTGATGAGTGTGAACAAATGTTCTTCAGCGATTCTCTGCTGACAAGTCAAGACATAAATGGCAGCCATCAGACGTTCTCTGCATGCATCTTCTGTTTTGATGTGGCACGGAAGAGCTGTGATTGCCTAATCCTGTTGAGATGACAACAGGGATGACGCAGGCTGGTGCGTTTGATGGCCCAGGGGGCAGATATCTCCAGAGGGTCATCTTTGTTGATACGAGGTGGGTGTGTTTTATGTACCCGAGTAGATCTTTACTCTCTGTCTGTCCTTTAGTGAGTTCAAAATTACAAAACCTACCCTTCTCCTGCTTCACCTACTCAGTCTTGTCTCTCTCCAAACAAGCCTGTGATTGGATGATATTTTTAACCTGTTTGTCCAAAGGTCCTTGGCATATTGAGGAGGGAAAAAAAGAGAGATGAGTGGGAAGAGAGATGAGCCGTCATCGAAACACATTTGTGTCAGGTTGTGTCCGATGTGTTGCAGTAATCTATGGGAGCACTTACGTCTGTGACATGAAGGGTCATTCATCACAAGCCTCCTCAGTCTGTGGCAGGAGAACGCTGGCAGAAGAATTTCAATGCAACACATGTGCAATACATCACGGTGGACGTCACTCCATAGCGCGGCGAAGCACGTTCAACACATCCGTCTCACATTTTGAGGACCCTCAGTGTTGGCATCAGGGTGCACCAACATTGCCCTCTAAAATGTTCCAAGATGTCAACAAAGATTGGGCTCAAAAATATGTCTAAGCAGGGAAATAAAAACTCTATGCTCTAACTTTATTGGTTAAGCTTAAGAAAGAGCCGGCACAGGTCAAAGACTGTAAACAAATGTGTTGAAATGCCTTCGTCTAGACAACACAGAATAGTAAAACAGTGCTGTGGGCCAGATAAACATTAACTGGAGCTCCAACGCAACCTATTTTTGTTCAAGCCAAAGACTGGAAAAGCACTTATCTCTGGAAATGGCACAATATCATTTTCCACTGTCCTGGGAGTTTTTATTACAGCTCAGAGACTTTGCGGCGCTAATTAAAATGGACATGTGTCCCTTCAAATACCTTTTTTTCTATAAATCAGAATGTGTGGTTGTTGTCTTCTTGTATAGAGACTGTGTTTTCTCAATTCTTCAGCATAACACTGAATAATTTTCAGTTCTCTTGTAGCAAGATGTAATAAATAGAGTGCATATAAGGTGTCAAAGATTTTTATAGGAAACAACTAACAGCAAGCACTTATTTGGAGAATCATTAGGGGACAAGTCCTAATTGCATCTGTTAAACACTAACACAATCATTTTTTAGCTGCCTTTTTGCAATAATGTCAGGTGAAAGTAAAGGTATTTCTGAGACTGAGAATATAAAACTGTGTTTGAAATCTGTTCCTTTGACCAAAATTCTAGGGTAAAAGCCTGTGTTTATAAGGAGAGACGTTAAATATGACTAACAAGGACAATTTTGTTAAATAACATCCAATCAACAAGTTCAAAATTTAGCTCTGTGTCACATTGAGTGGAAGCTAAAGACTACACTTTGTAGAAACGTGATGAAACATTCCTGATCTTAAAGGGGCTATATGTAAGTTTTTTGATTTTAATACATCAAATTTTCATTGCCTTATTGTCAATGGGCTCAAAACTCACTTATAAATTAAGCACACGCCTGTTTTCCCAGCCACTATTCTGCTTTTAATGTGTGGTCTCCCGAGCCTCTCTCGTACTACAGCGACAACAAGCAGCTAACGACATGCAGTCCACTAACACCATAACACAACCGGCTCACAGCAAAACACAGGCTCCACATAAGGATACAAAACAAGAATAAAGGTTTATGTGCTGAAGCCCATCAGACCAAACAGGTTCAGATGATGTCGAGTAAGAACAAAGTGAGCATTAGTAAAGCTGGAGGAACACAGAGAAAGTCACGTTAGCTCACCGGCTAACACCGAGCAGTTGCTAATGTTATCCGGTGCAAAGTTATATCACTTTACACATTACTTTACCAACTAACGTGACCCATGTTACTATCCTGTGTACCACTGTTGATTTAGCCTGCAAGAAAGGATGTTAGGGTACAGTAAAAAGCAAATGTGGAGCTAATTGTTTACTAACGTTAGCCTAAAGTGATGCAGCCAGGAGCAGCCAGCTAAGCTACAGTAGCTCGGACCTGCCGCTGTTTGCTTCGTAACGTTCAGTTTGTTTATTGTGGTTTTACCAGTACTCAGGTACACAGCATCTCCACCTCTCAGTCGCTGTAACTAATGTGACCCACATAACATAAAACACTGCAACAAAACGGTCACAACAACACAGAAGAAGAGCCATGCACTAACACTAGCTACAGTAAAGTTACTTCCTGTGGTCTAACTGTTACAAAGTGTGACACAATCTCGTTATAATATCCATTCCAGCTCACTACCCGTTTCATTATCATCCAATACATGTAGCTGTGCTGACATTGCTGAGCCTCCGGTGACAGATTCACAGATAGTAAAGATGGTTAACGTTACTGAAAAGCAGCATGCGAGCTAACGATGTAGCACGTCGGCTAAATGCAGTAAATGTACGTTATCATGTAACGAGCATGGATTAGTTCAACCTACAGCTGATAAAACTATTACTGTAATGTTGCAGTGGGTGTTTACCTGACTTTCCAGCTCGATCTGTTCTCCCTGTCTGTCTTTAGCCGCTGTCACTCTGCCTGGAGTATTGAGCCAATAGCGGCTCGCTGCGCTGAATGAAAGGTACCGCGCCAGTGTTGATCTGCCTCTGAGATGGGAACGTTGAAGTAACAGAGCCTGAACATGTCTGGAGAAAAGCCACAGCCTGCATGCTGGTGTTTCTGCGTCTATTGTGGTATTTCTGTATGAAAGTGGTAGTGTTACGGATTATGCTCGCTCATGGGTTCAAGCGAGCACGCGTACGAGCACACGGCTGGTTGCAATCTTAGAACCGCACCGCTAGTGGCCGCTGGAAACTACGCAATGCCCCTTTAAATCAGTTCACCTTTGTATTCTGGGTTAATTTTGATTAGATCTGCTGCTATTTTAGTGAGTTTTGCAGAGTTTTATTCCTGTCACAGTGGGGCTTGCTTCTGATGGCTTCTTCTCCATAGAAACATATTGTTATTGTAATATTTAAAACCATTTACTAGTTTAATCTGACAAGAAACTGTGATTTTTGAAGTTGAAATAATTAAAACTGGTAACTTAAACCTACAGTACCATTTCATTCATTGTGTTCGTGGAGGCTCATTTTTAATTTTATTAAAAGAAAACTTTAAAATGGCAATGTACACTACACTGCAACTCTGTGGCTTATTATTTGTTCAACAAGGAATACAAAACACATTTTGTCTAGCCAGTAAGGCCAAGCATACTTTCTTAAAGCTTGAAGGACGGTGTATTTTTAAAACGACTATAATCAATATTTTTAAATGAACCGTGAATCAGAGTATTGTGTCTCTCATAATGATGAACTCACAGAGAATTATCGCCTGACTGCAGTTCCTCAGCTCTACAGAGTATTTTAATGTCTTTCAACTCATTAGGCCTTATGCAAGCACATTTTTGTATTCTCTTACTCTTTACTGTCTCCTGTTTTTTTCATATGGCGGGCCTGTATGAGTGTGTCACATCAGATTCAGCAAACTTCAGATATGTGTGTAAATGACCCGCGTAAACATGATGAATGCCTTCTGTCGATAACTAAGCCTGCGTCCATGAGAATGTAAATTAGCATAACTAATAGCATATAAGGCTACGCCTGCCCCATATGTCAGGAAGAGTTAATTCATAAAAATGGTTTGAAGAGTAATTAGAATTTTACGAATTTGCTTTCGAGGTCTATCATTTTTAACAGCGTCAGCAGCAGTGGAATTAGGGGAATAGGATTGGATCTGTGTGTCTGTCTGCGGAGTTGCTGCTCTAACAAGTTTAACATTTGCAGAAGCACAGCCCATGGCAATCTAAACGACGACAACAACCATTCATCTGTCTCTGCCAATATATCAGCATGCTGTCACTCCCTTCCAAGGGCCTGATGCACCAAGGCATCCAAGAGATTACACTTACAGTTGACCATATTATATACAGAGAGAAATTAACCTTCAATTAGTGCATAATTTGAGTTATTTTGCAGTTTGAGATGTTTATATTGATATGGTTGTGTTATACATTAGCATCAAAATCCAATTTAAATGCATGATGTTGTTGGGCTTTAAGAATACATTTCGAAATGTCAAACAGGATAATAACATAATTATTGTGAGTTGAGTTACGCCAGGAATCTACTGACGCCGGGAATCCACTGACTCCAGCTACGGCACAGTCTATGGTTACGGCTGCGCCACGGTTTTGATGCGTCTTTGGACGGCGTCAAAGTCCACTGGAAGCGTCTCAGAAGCGTTTCAGCAGTGGAGCGTGCAACCTGCCCCACATTATTTACTGTTATTAATTTGTCCTTTTTGTGCTTCTACTAGCTACTTCACAGCTCTATGCGACCCTGTTTCGTTCCATCAACTTCAGGCTGCATTTCCCACACTACAGCCGCTTCTTGGACGCTTCTGGGACGCACTGCGGCCGCATCTGGTGGACTGGTTTGATTGGACTATAATGGCCATGATTATGTCCGGTAACCGCAGCGCAGCTGAAACGCGCCATAGCCGGAGTCAGTGGATTTTAGGGGTTTATAGGATCTCCAAACTCAGAATTGCTTCAAAGCAATGAAATATACAATGCATAAAATTTAGGTTGGGAACAGCAGACTAATTACACTGGACTCCTATGACAGGTTTAAAACAATAGAGGAAAATTGGTGAATGCAGCCAGTTCTCCTAAATCACTCATACGGTTGGTTAAGAACCAATCTGTTTATATGAGGTGCATGTCGTTTTACTACTGGTGCCGGTAAAAACAAAGGAAAATATATATTTTTGAATACAGAATATCACTATTTTCGAAACTCCTGACCCATCCCTAGTAAATACATTCACATTTACAAATACATTTAACTGCTAAAGAACCAGATATTTCCCTGAGGAGTTGATGAAGATGAAAACAGATCCAAAAGAGGAGTCAACATTAAACTTACATTCATCAGCTGGACAGAAACATTTCCCCAAAAGTTTGCTGAAGCTTTGCTGGATGTAAAAACACACTAGCTACAACAATTTGATGATATTATATGTCAGTGTTGAGTTTACAGCTTGATCCACTTCCAGCAAACTTTGAGTTCCCTTAAAATTCCCTTAGAGTTCACTTGTAATCTACATGCTCTCTGTGACTTGGGCAGAGAAAGGATAAAAACAAAAACAAGTCAAAACCAAAAACGCAGCACCTGAGAACCTGTTTATGTGAAAGGATAGTTTTCACAACATCATTGATTTAAACGCTGTGGTGGTTATGCAGTTAAGGGCCTCTGGGCTGAATCTTTACTGCTGTTTGAGATAAAAAGGATGTGCTCTTTATCTGTTCTATCTCTAACTTCTAGGTCATGAAAAACAACGAGCACAATAGAAGCAGTAAATGAGCAAATACCCAACAGCCTTGTTTAGACAAGACCTGCATGTGGCTGACATTAAATTTATTAAGCCACTTGAGAATAAAACTGTCAACGACTAAATAATCAAATTACTCATCAAAAGTGCACACCAGATACTAGATAGTGAGAAAGCCATTATTATATAGCTTTCAAGTGATACAACATTTGCATTGATATCACCTGTGTTTGTTTATACTCAGCACTAATAGAGTTTCACAAAAGGCAATCTCTCCCAAAGCATAGTCAGCCTTCCAAAAATGCAACACACACAAGCCATCTGAGATGCAGCAGTGTTCTTCATTGGATTTGTTTGTTGTTGCTGTGACACTGATGAGATCATTGCATGGATTGCACTTGTTTGACAGCTCTGTGGGACAAATCTGTTGAGGCGCTCTCTGCAAGAACGGGATCAGGTCAAGGTGTAATCTGTGGACTACAAACTGAATTTGTCATTCATTACACGTCTGTGTTTTTGTCCATGACACGGGTGAGAGAAAATGAAACCCTGACCTGTTTTATTGGTTAA